GACTCAAAATGTTATTTTTATAATACAATTTATATTGTGTGTAACAACAACGGGAGGGAAATGTCCCTTAACTGTTACGTATTGGTTTTATATGATAAATTACATAAAACTTTATAAAGATATTTTTAGAATATAAATTTTCTAATTTTAATTTAATTTTATTTACGCATATACTGTATGTATAATATTTATTAATTAACAAAACCAAATTTTTTTATTAAGCTATTAATAGAAATAACTTAAATAGTTCAATTTTATAAGTCGTAAAAAAGATTTATAAAAAGTTAAATATAAAATTTTATTGAATTTCAACTTAATAACACACCTGTATATAATTTAAATGCGTATACAGTATATTGTAAATATATACTGTATGTATTTGTTTATTTATTAATGTTAACATCGTTTTTTTTGAAGTTGTCTTGGGTAATATATTGAGTCACGCTTGATTTAATCGCAAAAGAATTCGGCACATTAAAGAGGAACAACGGAAATAATGTCATTTCATCGTTGTATTTTTGGTTTCTTTATTTCAAAAAATGTTTGAGAAAAGAAAGCTAAATGCCAGCATAAGTTACAACATCTGTTGTATCTTAAACTGATAGAAAAACATAATATATAATATATTCTTCCAGTAATAATAAAATTGGTTAAAACAATAAAAGGAGTGAAAACCAGGCACCGCCTGTTAAATAATTTGCTCTTGCACTAAAATATACATTACTCGCCTATCATTATTCATTTTTTTCGATTTTCGCAATTCTCAACATCGACAACATAGTTCTAGCGGCTTTTGTGTGATTGTTAAGGCCTCCATAGAATGCTTTCGTCGAATCTTTTCCGTAGTAAGCTCTTAGTATTTTCTCACCACCTGGATGTGCTGACGTAAAGTCCTTGACATCCAACACAAAATCATCAATCAATAACCATTCCTTTCCCTCATCTTTGACCTTGGTTTGATATACGTCGTATGTCATGGTAGGTAACAATGTTGGATCTGTTCCCCAATCACATTTTTCTCGTTCCTTTTGAGCTTTGTATAGATCTATGTTGGCCCTCGCTTTCCTCACCTCGTTACTGGGTACCCGGTATACAGACGTTACTTGGTTAGTGAAAGTGTGGAAGAACCAGATAAGCCATTTCGAGGGGTCATAGTCGAATGGGCGATAACCGTTACGATAATCCTTGGGAAATTCATGGTGGAAGTTATGGTACCCTTCACCATTAGTCATTATTGCGAGTAATAAGTTACCACGGGCGGAAATTTCAGTCGAGTAAAGTTGATCACCAGCCCAATGGGCGAA